CTATGCCTTTTTTCCCAATTCGCCCACCCCCCTGCAGTGCTCTCTTTGCATCGGTCATGCTGCTGTGTCCTCACACCAGAGGCATTTGTTTCCTTTGATACCTCACCCTCTCCTTTTCCCCTACCAAGCTCTGTGCAGCTGTGATCAGCTTCAGCACTCCTGCCTTCGCCATCCATCTACCTTCTTTGTACCATATCCTTTCCCACCTCATCTCATTGCTCAGTTCTTCCCTTCCCCCATTTACTATTGTATTCATGTTGTTTTTCTGTTGACCTCCTCTTCTGGAATATTCTTTCATTTCTCTTCCTCTTTCCCTGTGTGTAGCTATTGACTCTTATTTATTTCATTCTCTCAGTTTTTCATTTATCACTCCTTAGTTCCTTCCCTTCCCCCATTCCGCATAGATTTTCTTCCCTTCCTTTGCACGTCCCTCATGTCATACATTTCTCTACCCCATGTGTTTATTGCACCTGGCCTTCCCTTCCCTTCTATAATTCTGTTCACCTCTGAAATCTTCCATCAGCTGCCCACATCTACCTCCTCCTTTTATCCTTCCAAGCTCCTGAGGTCCAGAAAAACAATGATAGCTTTAAAACCAAGATAAACTCTCCAGATCCTTTATCTACCTTTACTATTCTTTAGGCTGAATGAAACTGGACCCTTGCATAAGATAGGTTCTCTCACAATAACAAAAACTGTCTCATGCTGAATCTGCATATGATAATAGCAGGGGCCCAGGAGGAAGATGAACTACAAAGTGAAGAAAAAGCCACTGATACCTAGAATGAACTGAGGATGGGTGGCAGTCAGGCAGGGTGGAGCTTAGAGTCCTAGAGCACATACCTTTACAAAATCAAAGTTGACAGTTAATTGACATAATGGCACTGATTGATGAAGGGGTTATAAGCCCCTGGAAGCCCATTAAATTGATTTCTTGGCCTGTTTACGTGCCTTCACAAACCATATCCCCCACTTCTCCCAGCCCCCTGCTTGTATCTTCTGCTACTGAGGTTAAAATGCTGGGTAGGAGAAAAAGGAATAAAACTTAGGGTGACCAAAGAGAAAAAGGAAGAGGGCAGATTATGAGAACAAAGATGGAGAATAAGCTCAGGAGATCATGGAATACAGGGGTAGAAAAATGGGTTGAAATAAAATCGAGAAATGAAAAAATATACAATAGTAAAATTGGAGGAAGGGAGGAAAATTAAGTCAGCAGGGATGAGGTTCATGATGGAAAGGTGGAAATACAGATTACACAGGAGACCCTAAGGTAAGTCCTGATGGGGGAGACAGGCACATGGCAGAGGGAACAGTCAACAATGCTAGGAAGTTCCAAAGCTTTCTTGCTGAAGGTGGAAAAGGAGGCTATCCTGGCCATGCTGAAAGGGAACAGGAGTCTTTGGAGGGAGACGCGTCTCCAACCACTTGCTCTTCAGGCCCTTGACCAGTGAATGCCAAAATCATGGTTAAGCAAACTCCAAAGTAGCTGAAAAGGCCACAGATACCAGGACAGACCCTCAAGGAGAGGACATGGAGTCCTAGATGGCAGAACAGTCAGGCAGCCAAGGGATGACACATCGTGACAGGGACACCCAGGGAGAGGATCACTCTGATGGGAAGAGTCACAGCAACTGGAGATGGATGAGGTGAGGTGAGGTGAGGTGAAGAATGCCAAAACCAAGAAGCAGTGACACATGGACAGAGATCAGTGGGGCTACAGGCACAGCGAGAGCGTGGTCCAGTGCTCAGAAATGATAGGGCTCCTCAGAGAGGGCTATACAGAGCCGATAGAGTCGGGGTGGGAGGCAGCAAGACAGGCACGCTTCACCTGGAATGGGGCTTCCCTCACCTATTCGCACCTTTCCCAATTAAAAAAAAAAAAGCTCAATTTCTGGCACAAACGAAAATTGAAGGTGTCCATGTACCCTCCCACCCGCACCCTTGCAGCGCTAGCCCATCCATCAGCCCTCGGCCATCCCGCAGCCGGCGGGGGGCCTCCGCGACCCAGGCCCTCTGCAGCTGATAGCTCCAGCCCTTGCACTCACCCGGCCTCCCCTTCCCTCCGGGAACCCCGCTCCCAGTACGGCTCGGCGCGATCCGTTTGGCTCTCGCTACCTTCCGTCTGTCGGGCTGGCCTCTCTTCTCCCCTTCCTGCTCGTATGTCCTCTCTCCCACACCCCTGCCCCCCTACTCCTCAGGATCCCAGGCTGTCTGTCCGTCTGTCTATGTCCCCTCCCCCAGCCTCTTCCCGTCCCTCTCCGTCCCCTCCAGCGGCAGTCTCCGAGCGCGTCCTCTCCCCTCGGTCTCGAGCTTCCAAAGAGCAAGGAAGGGAAGAAGAGTGAGAGGGAGAGGAGAAAAAAAACCAACCCAGCAGCATCGGAAATCGATGCACTTACACCTCAGCTGGAAGCAGGGACGGGAGTCGAACCGCGGCCGCCGAGCAGCGCGAGGCGGGGAGGGGAGGGGGCGGCTCTTGGAAGGGACTTCTCCGATGTGTTGATTCCTTTTTTTCCCTCCTCCTCCCTCCCTCCAGCGCTCGCTCCGGGGCGTCGGGGACGGAGATGGAAAAAATAAATAAATAAATTCACGGCGGTGAGGGAAGTGAAGGAAAATAATCAATGCTATTTGGCTGCGGCTGAAGTGTTTTCCCGGCTTCGTAAGGGGGTTTCCATTGATTCACCCTGGGCACTCGCTCGCTCCCAGCCTCCTCCTCCTCCTCCTCCTCCTCCTCCTCCTCCTTCTCCTCCTCCTCCTCCTCCTTCTCCTCCTCGCCCTCCTCCTCCTTGCCCTCACTCCTCCGCCTCATTCACTGGCTGGAGCCAAGGCGTCCCACACAATGGAATAATCAATACCCAGGCGCCCGGGGCGGCCCCACTGAGCAGGTGCAGCGGCTCGCCCGCCGCGGTGCATGCCGGAAGTTGTAGTCTGCACGCCCCCGCCCAAAGGCCGGCTTAACGCGATGTCAGCCTGATTTTCCGAACGCTGCAACACTGGCTGGGACTATATATGCAAGGGGGGTGCAGGCCAGACCGACCACGTTGCCTCTTCCTTGATTCAGGCATCAGGTCCACCTGGTGCATGCAAAGAGGGCAGGTCTCTTTAAACTCTATCCTGTCCCCTCCTCCTGCTTACAGAAACCATACATGTGTTTTGTTGTTTTGTTTTAAATTTGCTCTAGAACAAGCTCTAGGTTCTATCAGCTTCCCAGAGCTGCTCAAGGTCCATTTCTCTTTCTTCGCCCCTTTTTCCTGTCTCTCTTCCTTGTGATTAGGTACTGGAACCTTGTCTCACACAGAGAGAGAAGTCTGAAGTCTCTGAGAACCACTGTCTCCTCCACACCGATGGTCAGCAGTTCCTAGCTGGGTATGGAGAGGGAGTTTCTGGTTCCTCCTCTTTAGTTTGTCAGCTCAAAACGCTGTATATTCTAATAACAATTTCTACGATTTACTGAGTGTAACTTACTTAATCCTCACAACCCTGTGAGGTGGGTACTACTACTAGTTCCATTCTGCAGTTGAGGAAACCAAGGCACAATTTACCGGGCCAAAGTCACATGACAAATAAGTGGCAGTACCACGATCCCAACCTCAGTGGTCTGGCTCCAGAGTCCACACTAGCTGCTAAAGTCTATTTCTTTGAAACAACAGCAAAACTTAAAGTTGGGGTGGGGGGTGGGAGTGGGGGAGGGAGAAGAAACCAACATTTTGGGTTTCTATATATGTGACAGATAAGTTTGTTACTGAAGCCTCACACATAATTGTGAGGCAATCTACATGATACTAATGAACAGCAGAGACTTAGGGAGGTGGAATAGCCTGCCTAAGGCTAAATATCTAAAAAGTGAAGCTGAGAGTCAACCCCAGGTCTGTCTGTGAAATCCAGACTTAAAGGAATCATTAAAGTGGCTGCCTCTGCTCTACTGGACTGTACCTTATACAACAGGGAAAAACACTGGGTCTTCTTAGGTCAACAAAGCTGGAAAACAAAGGATGAATGAAATTGAAAGTAGTGAGAGAAAGCTCGGGTCTGTTTCCTGCTCAATGGTGGTTGGCATGGGGCGGGGGATACATTTAAGACATCCCAAGTTCAACATGCCATGTTTGTAAACTAGTGACTTCCCCACCATACTTCCCATCTTTGTCAAGTGTTTCCAGAGGCATATGGATAGGGGGCAGGTGTGGGGAACCTGGCACTCCTCACCCATCATCCAAGCAAGCCTAGGAGTCAACAATATACTTGCCCAGAGGGTCAGACAACAATTAAAGTCCACAGATAACTATACTCCCCTGTAGCCTCTTTATTTGGTCTCCTAAAACACCCAGTGGGTCATCCCCATGTCTTCCTAAATGTTAAATGAACATGAATGTTTCTCCTAGTACTGACACATCTGCTGGAGGAATGCTGGAAACTGACAGAACCCCTCAGTCTGACATTCATGCAAGGCTTTCCAACCTCTCATCTGCGTTTCTAGTACCAGCTTCCACTTACATAATGGCTAGGTGCTCTCCAGCTTCTGGGTCTTTGCTCAAGCTGTTCCCTGTCTCCACCTGGGTGTCCCACTGTTGAAATCCCACCATTCAGAATATTACTTCCTCCTCTGATGAAAACTCCCACCACCCACCCTTACCCTAAACATTTGTACCAGGATGTAATAGGTCCTCTCTGAAACTCCAGGGCAGCTAAACTAGACATAAATTACCTTCCCACCCCACGCCCAGCCCGTTGCACTGGCCTGCACTTTAAGAGGGCAGCCATAAACTGCATTGTGAGAGAGTGGCTTGTGTTTCAGGCCCACTGCCTGCGGTGAGAAGGACTGGAGACTGGGGTCTCAGCACCTTGCATATGACTCTCCCCACAGCCTGCAACCCCAGTTCAGCTTTAGGTAGAATCCCGCTGGCACCAACTGCAGCTTTCCGATCACCATAGCGACAGGTGGGGCGAGAAGGCGTGGTGGCTTCTTGGAACTACACCTCCCATCATGCACTGGACCGCAGTGCTGGGCTCAGTCTAAGGCCCGAGACCCCAACCCACCCCGGGGCTCCAGGAGGGATCCGGGTGAGGAGCAGAGCGCGAGGGGACAATCTCGCATCCCTGCCCACCGCGGGGGTCGCAGCCGCTCAGAACCTAATAGGCCACTGGGCCCCGGCCTGTCCTGGGCACCGCCACAACGGGCCTAATATGGCCGCTGGTGCTAGGACTGGCCGGGCGCTCCAAGGGCCGGACAGAGATCCGGACCAGGGACTTCTCCCGGCATTCCTCGCGGGTGTGGCGTGGGCTCCCCTCCCCCACCTCCTCGTCCCGCAAGAGGGAGACCTTTGGGCTTTGAGGTGAGACCCGTGGCTCTGCCGCCCAGTGGTAGGGCGAGGAAGGGAGGGTCTTTCCCGTAAGGGAACCGCTGGCCTCCCGGGGTAGTAAGGTTGGAGGGACATTGAAAGGACATCTGCTACACGGCCTGCTTTCTAGGGAGCCCTTTGGATTGAGGGCATCATCAATAGTGGAAGGGATTTACCTGGGACCTGTCACTGTTACAGTCCCCCTAAAAGCCCGCAGACAGGGCCTTGTAGAGAACTTTGGGACACAGTATGTGTGCTCATAAATTCATACAGGGCCGAAGGGTCTCTACTGAGCTGTTGCTGCACAGGCTGGACACCCTTGGGCGCTCAGGGAATGTTTGTTGCAAATGTTCATTGATTGTTGCAAATGTTTGTTACAGGTAGCATGGCCCAGGGCTTGATTGAAGTGGAGCGAAAGTTCGTCCCAGGGCCTGGCACAGAGAAATGCCTGCAGGAGTTGGGGGGCACCCTGGAGCACAGAGTCACCTTCAGGGACACCTACTATGACACCCTTGAGCTGAGCCTCATGCGGTCTGACCACTGGCTACGACAACGAGAGGGTAGAGGATGGGAGTTCAAATGTCCTGGAGCAGCAGGCACCTCAGGACCTCACACTGAATACCTGGAGCTCACGTCTGAACCTGCAATTGTGGCCCGGCTCTCTGAGCTGCTGGGGGCAGAAGGGCTGGGGACTGGAGAAGTGGCTGCTGTGCTGGGTCCATTGGGGCTGCAGGAAGTAGCTAGTTTTGTGACTAAGCGGAGCGCTTGGAAGCTGGTGTTCTCTGGAACTGAAGAGGAGCCACTGCTCAGAGTGGACCTGGATACAGCAGACTTTGGCTATGCTGTGGGTGAGGTAGAGGCCCTAGTGCATGAGGAGGCTGAAGTACCAGCTGCCCTAGAGAAGATCCTCAGGCTCAGCAGCATGCTTGGTGAGGGAGACAGTGCTTTCGTTGTTCTCCACTTTCTGGCAGTGGAGGCACTCAGGGGACCATTCAATGGTGGAGGGGCTCTGGATTTTTTTCTGGAACAGGAATTGTCTTAGCAATTTTCTAGAGGACGCAGTTTGCTTACAATTTGATCACATCCAGTTTCCTCTTTTATAATAGCTGCCAAATTTGTACTTAATTCTCCGTATCTCTAATCTTTATCCTAGCTATTCTGTCTCACTTACTTTTCATAGCTCTAGCCAGGCCTTCAGTTCCACTTATCAGTCCTCTTGCTTTGACCGTTTCCTTCCCCCAAATTTCTATTCTTTTATTTTTATAACTTCCTAGATCCTTATTTTATTGATTGATTTTGAGATAGAGTCTTGCTATATAGCCCAGGCAGGTCGCTCCCCCTGCCTCAATCTCCTGAATGCTAGGTTTACAAATATGCCCCACTACACCTGGCTTTTCTCTTAGCTCTGGGTAAAAGGCAAGAATATTGTATTTTTGTGAAGCAGTGGGGTAATCTGTGGCCGATTTGTTTTTCTATGCAGGCGTAGTTCCCTTGTAGACAGCTCATCCTCACAGGTATGGCGATGTACATCCCATGGGGCCTGATGCCCTAGGATGCTGGTTGAGCCTCCCCAGCTATCTGTTTAGCATGCTGCCGGGCACTAACAATAGACACCGGCAATGGGAAGTTCCAGAGGCGAGACTTCTACATGAATTCCCCCCACACCCCAGCTATAACTTCTTTCTGCAGCCCTTGGTTTCTCTCTCCATGTACATTGCTGCATGTGCTCCATTACCAAGCTAATGAGTTTTGGCCTGTCTAGATAGGCTTTGATCTTGATTGGGGGACCGGAGTAATAAGTGAAATGAGTCACTATTGAGGCATCCTCTGTTTTCAAAATGCCTGGTGCCTCTTCACCATTTCTTGTTGCTGAAGGAGAGGCTCATGCATGGCTTCCCAGGCACTCCAGCTGAGTGGCTCTTTGAGGTCTCACTTCCACAGTCCAGGGATGGAGTGGGTGGGTTGGGTGGGCAGGGAGCCAAGTTTACTTATGGTAGATCTATCCACTCCTTTTCTCACTGTCCGTTTGCCTGCAGGTGTGCCAGCACAGGAGAAGGCACCCGCCAAGCTCATCGTTTACCTACAGCGCTTCCGGCCTCAGGACTATCAGCGCCTGCTAGAATCCAACAGCTCCAGAGAGAGGCCACAGGGGACTAAACACTCTGACAGCAGCCTAAGCTACAGTGTCATTTCCTAGAAGGGGAAGGGAACTCAGGATCCAATGCTGTCCACTCCTGGGATCACTGTGCCTGTTCCCTTCCAACATGCCTCCTCTCTCTCCAGCTCTGTTTTTTTTTTTTTCCCTACTCTATCCTCAGCTACCCTTCCTCAAGCCCTCACTGGCTGCTTCTTCTCCCTCATCCGTCAGATGCAATCTGTGGGCCGCCCCTCTCCCCTGGCCGCTAAGCAGCCTCCATTGATTTCCGCTCGTGTTTATAGGATTTCCACTTAGCTGTGATCAGTAGTTAAGCACAGGAAAATCCCTTGCCACCCCCCCTTCCCTTGGTCGATGACATTGATTCTGCCAGCGGCTCCAAAACCGCCTTACAGCTGAGTTGGAGATGAGGGGAGACAGCAGGGATTTCCCTGCCTTGGGGTGTGGGAATAGCAGCAAGGTGGGGAAATCACTGGGAATTCCTCTTAGAAATCTAGAAGTTCTGCTTTGATTACCAGTGTGCCCGGGCCTGGCCGGAAGGGTAGAGTGCCTCCTGTGGCAATTTAGGGGCAAATTTGTTCTCTGACCAGGAGAGGAGTAGAAAGAAAACCTTCATTGTTGAGATAAGTTTCCAAAGTTCTAGGAGTCTTCATACTTCCTGCATCTGCATGTCTGCCCTTGCTGTTCTGTGTACACATTTTCCCTCTCAAATATACCGAAATATGGCTTTCTGACTCGCTCAGGCTTTATTTGGCTTTCGTTATTTGTGGGGAAAGGGGCAGTCCCCACAGTTTTGAAGTGGCAAATGCAGGGCCAGAGTGCCACCTGCTGGTAGCCCTTGGAGGGTAATGTTCCCAGCTGCTGAGTTCCCAGGGCTGGGGACGCAGGTGATGAGTAGAGACAGTCACTGCCATGTTTCCACAGGCAAGTTGTTCACTTCGAAGATCTCCTGCACTGACTGGCCAAAGTGGTTGTAGGTGAGGCGCAGCTTTAGCCGCAAAGGGGCCTAGGTACAGAAGAGTGGAGACCAGGGTCAGTGTCCCTGACTTCTCTCATCCCTTGGTTTTGTCCATGGGGCCCTGGAACTCACCTTATTAGGATTGAGGATTTTGAAGAGCTGGGTAATAGGAAGGCCTCCCCGAGCTGGAACTGTGTCCCCACTGGGGGCCTGTAGCTGCAGCTGGAAACTCTGAACATGGGAAGTTTGGGCAGAGCACAGTAAGGCAGTTAGCTGGGCTCAGGCAACCCTGCCACACCCAGTGGTTCCCAACCATTTTCTGGTAACTGCCCCCAAGTCTGTCTATGTCACTCTCTTCCCATCTTTTTCTGTATCCCACCCACCTCCTCTACTTTATGTTTTTTTTTCACCTGGAGCACCTAGGCCACCTCTGAACCCTGATCTTTACAAACCTTGGGCACAGCTGCCTGGCAAATGAAGTGGGTTACATCACCTCCTGAAGAGTTGGTGGTGGTGACAGTGATTAAGAGCAATGCCGGAGTGCCAGGGGGTCGAATGAAAGACAGATTCAGCTGTACTCCCTCACGCTCAAACACTTTGAGATTGGGGATGGAAGCTAGAGTAGAAAAAGAAGGGCAGCTCAGCGTGCAGGCTTAAGATAACATGTTCATTCATTCACTCAACAAAAGTGATAGGGACGGAACGGGGCACAGGAGCCTCGGTCCTTGGCTGAGAAGGAGAAGCAGCATATTACCAGCCACCTTCCCTAAGACATCTCCCTTTGCTGATGCTTACCTAGTGGTGGAGGTGCCCAGGGAAGGTCAAGGAGATGTACTGAGGCACTCCCTGAGGAGGCATTCAGAAGGGGAGGATGCTGGGCATCCCCAGAAGTGCCATCCAGGAGATCTAGCAGATCCAACAGCTTGGAGGCCTGGGGGAAAGGGCAGAAGGGTCACAGCCAGGCATAGAAGCCCAAGCAAATCCTCCTCATGCAGGGCTTCCAGCCTCCTCACCTGGGGCTCTGGGGGAGCAGGAGTGGCTGCTTCTGGAAGCTGGGCTGCTGCCGTGGTCTTTTTTGCTTCCTCTTCAACCTGGGGACCACCTCGCTCCACCAGAGGCATCTTTTCAAGGATGGCAGCCCTGAGAGGGTGGAATGCAGATGCTCCTCTGTGTGGACCCTGGGCCTTCACAACAGGCATCCAGGATGAGGGCTAAGAACATGGAGAGCTCTGGGTGTGTAGCCAGTCAGAAGTGCCCTGATTTCCTAAGATGGCACATTGTTGCTGGTTTTCAGATGAGCAAGTTAAGGCTGGGGGCCAGCTTAGCTTTGATAACTGAGTGCGAGTGGAGGCTCTCACTGTGGAGGGGAAGAATATGGGAAGTGGAGACCCTTGAGGAGGGTCTCCTAGAGAGGGCATTTGGGAGTGGGCAGGGGTTTGGGTTCTGTACACCCAAATTGCTGGACGCACCTCATATGGTCATATTTCCGGAAGAGCATGTTGTACTCCACAGCTCGCTGCTGCAGTTCCACATCCAGGCAGCTCCCGTAGATAGACACAACCTGGCGGATGCGGCTGGGCCACGGTGTGGTATGTGAGTGGCAATGGCAGTTAGCTCTGCCTTACCACTCCAAGAGGTGTCAGGGAAGGATGAGGCCCCACAGAGCAAGAAGACACCCAACATAAGTGGCTCAAAATCAAGAACTTAAGGACTGGGGCGGGGGAGGTGGGAAGCTGGGGGAAGAAGGGTGTGTGTGCCTAGAGTTGAGACACTGGTGGGCACAATGAAGTGACACCCTTACTTGTTGTCTCCTGGGAGACGGATGCTGAGCTTCATGAGGGCTGTGAGGGCATATCCTCGGGTGGCTGGCAGTGACATATGGGACTGCAACACCTTTTCCAGCAGTGCCAACACCTCCTCTTCTTCCACCTTCAGGTGTGGATGACAGGTAGTGACCATGGGTCCAGCCCTGCCTCCCTAATGAATCTTCTTCAGTGCATCCTCCCAATGCGGGTCTCACCTGAACAGGCTCAGTCTCCTCACAGCTCCCCTCCAGCAGGAGGTCCCCATACTCCCCTATGCACCAGGCTGCCACCTGCACCAGTGGTTGCTATGTGGGAAAAAAGCACTGCTGGGCTGGTGCCTGGGATCCCCTCTCTCCCAGACCCTGCAACACCTCTTCAGGCAGTACAAAGATGGGGTTAGCAGACAGGAAAACAGGGAAGTTTGTTGGTAGGCTCTGTCCTGGTGCTAGGTGCCCACTGACCTCTGGTGGCCAAGCCGTAGAACTACATGGCCTAACAGCATAATGGAGCCTCTTCCCTTGAGGAAGAGACATTACTTAAGATGAAAAAGGAGGCTATAGATATTGGCTGGCACCTGTTAATTCACTCAGTTTAGGGTAATAGAGAAATCTAATACATGCACAAGCTTTTATCTCATTTGATCCACAAGACAGTGCTGGGAGATGAGTACATGGAACCTGAAAGAAGTTAAATTAGTCACCTGAAGTTACACAGCCAGTGGGCACCAGAGCCAGGACAGGAGCTCAGGTGTTCTAATAAAAGACGAACTCTGTTATTGAGCATCTACTGCACTAAGTAATAGCTGTGACCCGGAGGGAAAATGATTTCAGAATCCAGTGTAGGGAAGCCTTGGGGAGGCTGGGAAGCCCTGGGCCTGGGGAGGGAATGGTACCTGGGAGATGTCCTCTGCCAGGGCACTGTAGAGGCGGCGCACAGAGTAGGCATGTAGCTCCTGGGTCCCCCCAATCAGCTGAATCAGGTTGGCCACTGCGTCATCCCGCACATGTGTGCCTGCCTGGGGATGTGGGGGTAGACGTGGTCAAGTCAGGGTGGTGAACTCTGCCCACACCTGCCCAGTTCTCTGACTAGTCCACCTCACCTTTGTCAGTACATGCAGAATGGTGTCTATGTGCCACCGCTTGGTTGGGGCAAACCTAGGGGATACGGCTCATGAGTCCTGGCAATGTCCCTAACCAGACTGTACCCTCTACCTCCTGGCAACTTGTCACCTCACCTCTCTGCAGCCAGTAGGATTCCTGAGGCACAGTCAGCTCGGAGGTCAGGGGGGCACGACTCCAGAAACACCTGAAGCTCCTGCATCATGGCTCGCACGTTGGAGCCATTTACTAGAGCCAGACTCAGCTCCAGGGCCCGCCTGACAGGAGAAAGGTAGCCCAGGTCAGCCTGGCTACTGCAGGCCCTCCTTGTCCCCAGGTACCTATCCCTTTAGCCAATGGTCCCCTTTGCCTCTGCTTACCGGCTAAGGGAGGCATCGGTTTCCTGCAGACACTCTACCACTGTGGGTCGATGTCGCTGCACAGCACTATGATCAGACTGCACCAGCCGCAGCAACGATGTCAGGGCTACATACCTGGTCCAGGTGGGAAAGGCCTTATCACACGTAGCCATCTGCTCCAACACCCTGGCCTGAGCTCAGTTGGGTGTCAGTGGCTCATGCCTGTAATCCTAGCTACTTGGGAGGCTGAGATCAAGAGGACTGCAGTTTGAGGCCAGCCTGAGCAAACAGTTCAAAAACCCTGCCTTCAAAATAAGCAGAGCAAAATGGACTGGAGCTGTGGCTCAATCAGTAGGACACCTTTTTTGCAAGTGTGAAGCCCTGAGTTCAAATCCCAGTCCCACCAAAAAAAGGGAAGATGGATCAGGAGGCCCTAGAGGAAGGAGGAGTGCAGAGAGCTAGGAGTTCAGTGGCACAGACTAGCCAGACACCAGGGGCTATTACCTAATGTTCTTATCACTGTTGAGCAGGAAGCGGCCAAGAATATTGACGGCTAGAACCTATAAGGGGCAGAAGATGGGGACACTCAGAGAAGCAGCAACCTGCTTGTTCAAGAGTGGGGACCACCCACATGGCTTAAGATGATGGGGGTCAGGGAGAGGCCAGTAATCAGGCCTGTGTGCCTGGCTGGGGGTGGTGGATAGGGCCGCTGGGAAAGCACATGAGATGATACCCGTAGGCCAGCTGCAGAGTGGATATCCATGATGGTATGCACTGTCTCGAATAGGACTGCACTGCCTGCATTTCGGCTGCTATCTGTACTGGTGGCCACCTGTATGGATGGGAGAGCAGATGCATTTCTACCTAGGATCTCTGGAAGGTTCCCACCATGTCCTCTGTCCATCCCTCAATCATCGCTCAAAGTTCCCCTAACCCCACTACATTCCAGGGCCAGACTGGGCACAGGGCATTCCAACAGACTGTGTCCCTCCTTCGTGGAGTTCACTGGCTTAGGGGGACAGAGGAGTGATTACACAGCTTCTGTGTGGTAAGTGATCATGTAAGGGATACCCAGGGTGGGCGGACCTCGAGCAACATGCCTAAGTGGTGCCCTCTGCTCCCAGCTCCCACCTGGGCCAGCAAGTCATTCATGGTTTCACTGCTTTCCTCATGGTTCCGGCCCAGGATCCGAAGCAGACGGAGTATCTGGACCTGTGTTGGATTAAAAGTGAAAGGTAGAGACTCATAGGATAAGGAGTTGTGGAGCTGAGAAGAAAAACACAATACTAGTGACAGCATTGTGAGGGTCTGGCTAGCTCCTTAGAGCCCTCTGCCCCTTCCTCACTTCCTCTCACTTCCCTTGGGCCCTGAGAGGGGATTGAGTGTGTAAGGCCAAGTGGGTTCAGGATAGGCTTTTTTTTTTGGTAGGACTAGGGTTTGAACTCAGGGCTTCACTTTGCAAAGCAGACGCTCTACTGATTGAGCCACACTTCTAGTCTATTTTGCTCTGCTTATTTTGGAGATGGGGTCTTGCAAGCTATTTGCCTGGGCTGGTCTCCCAAGTAGCTAGGATTACTGGTGTGAGCTACCAGCACCCAGCTCAGGATAGGCTTTTTATATTGTTACCAAACTGGGTTTTCTGACCTTCAAGCATCCCCTATCTTCTCCTTTCCCCTGCCACCCTCTTGTCCTGGGACAACCATGGCAATCTTGAGCCACATTCTGCCCAAGACACTGACTGTGCCAAAGTATTTTGTGGAAGGGGACCACTGGCCAAGGCATTACTCTAAGACTTCCCTGTTCCAGGGACACAGCAGGGAAAGTTCAGCCCACCTGCAGGAAGGGGTCGCTGACTCCAGATATGCTGTGCTCCGTGGAGTATCCTGTTGTCATCAGAGTCCGGAGGATCTGTACCAGCTGGGGTACCACCTGGAGGGAAGGCACAGCCTTGTCTGGGCATTCCTCCTCATCCTCTCAACCGTAAGTTCCATTCCTTCCCCACTGCCCATCTTTGCCAGACCCGGAGCCTGCCCCTTCACCAGCCCACCTTTCGAAAGTGCCTGAGGGCTTCAGGGCTTCGTTCGCAGAGCTCCAGGATTAGCGTGACAGTGCCCAGAAGGATGCCTGGGTTCAGGGTGGGGAAGTGAATGGTGGGTCAGGGCATGGAAGTCTACTGCATGTGTTTGAGTGTGTACTACCCTTGTCCTATGAGCTGGTGCTCTTGACCTTTCACCTGTCCATCCAGACCTGAAGCAGAGGATGAGGAGCCCTTAACCTTACCATGGTGGCGCTCATGAAGCAGTTTGGCACAAGGTGGGAGGAAGATGTTGGAGAGCTCTGGGACCTTCCGGATCATGTGCACTGCGGTCAGAATAGCCTGCAGATGTCAGGGGCCTCAGACAGAGCAGGGGTCCAGCAGGTTGGACCCCTTACCTCCACTGCATGGCAGACAAGGGAGTTTTGGGAGAGGCAAATGCTTGGAGTTCTGTGTCTCACCTTCTTGCGCACATAGGGGCTGGGCTGCAGGAGCAGTTTTTCCACCTCCGTGGCCAGGTCCCGGCACATCTCAGCAGAGCCCATGGTGCTCAGAGTACACAGTGCCAGGCCTTGTACTAGCTCAATCCCCTGGCTCAGGTCACTGCAGGGTTGGGAGGACGATCAGTCAAGTCTCTGTGAAAACCAATTCTTCCCAGCTTGTGTATCAGGCAGCCCCCTGAATTTCTGAGTCCCCACTCTCCCATCTCCCTGATTTCAAGTGCCCCGGAACCCTCTCACTTCTTGATGCTGTTCGTTATGAGCAGGTGGGCGTCGTGCCTCTCATCCAATAGAAGCATGGCTCCCAGGTAGCCCACCCTCTTGTCTGTGAATCTGGGGGAGGCGATCAGTTTCAGGCACTCCATCTATAGGCAAGGGGCAGACCCAGAAGGCAAGAGTGAAACCAGAGCTACTAATATCTCTATTCCGTCCTCTTCCCTAACACCAGATTAATCTGTGGGCCATCACCCTCTCTTCAGCCAGAGGAGATTCAGGGGTTAATGGCCGGCTTCAAAAGCCTAGGAGTGGAGAATGGGAGAGGCCAGAAGGAGATGCCCAGAATGGGGCTGTCCAGGAAATGAAGGGTTTAGGCCAGCTGACTAATGGGGGATGATGGGGAAAGGGGTTTTCAGTGTACTGTATGGAGGTTCAGAAACTGGAGAGTAAAAATAATTCGGCCACGAATATGAAAGGGGTCCATGACCCTGTCCCAGAAGCCTCCTCAAACTCGAGGGAGGCGTCCCTAGCTAGTACCTGTCCAAAGTGGGCGGGGTAGCCCAACATGTGGACGTAGAGCAGTTTGGCCAGCTGGCGGTGCCTCTGCAAAGGGTCCCCATCGCGGAAGGAGGACCGGATGTGTGCGCACTCCTTTTGGATCACCTCCCGCTCCAGAGCCTGAGTCTTGGCCCCGCGAATCTCCTCGATTAGGTCTTGAAGCTTCAGCGAAGGCACCACCATCCTGGGGGCAGAGCCCGGGAGTGGACAGCGCTTTAACGCTTTCTAGTCGGGTGGCCAAGGCTTGCTTTGTCCAAGATCTTAAGGGCCGGGTTCCACAGCTACCGTAAAACATTGACCTTTCCCCACCTGAGTCTCCCAAATTCCACCCCATCTCACCGCCCGAGAAAATCCCAATACGCATGCGTTCCCGCCCAATCTCCGCGCCTGTTCCTACGAGCCTGCTACGGAGCATGCGCAGAGCCCCGCCTATTTCCGCCCCCACCTCCTTCTCACTCCACCTGTTACGATTTTCCCAGTGATAACTCTACTGTTCTTTCCTTCCAGGGCCCCGATGTATGTCTTTCGCGAGACTCTTCTTCCCACCATCTCAGGCGGCATCAGTTTCCCCACCCCAAAACGCCTCACCTGGCTTCGTACTCAACTCTGCTCCTTTATCCCCCAGCGCTTCCTGGTACAGGGCCGAGCGGGGGTTGGGCTTGCTCAGGGCCTCCCTTCTCCCCGCCTCCACCACGGGACCCCGCCCCTCCTGGGCCGCCTGGTTGAGCCGTCTTGAGTTCTCCGACCTCTGGCGATTAGGGAAACAAGCTCTTCCCCTAAATCGCATTGGGCCGGCTGGCAGCAGGATAGGCCTGAGGTTCTCCAACAGGGCTCCTTTTACATTCTCACCACCTGGAGAGCCCAGAGTGCTTGTACCCCAAAGGAGATGACAATCCCCCCCCTTTTTTGAACTTTTTTATTAATATATTTTTTTTGTTGTTAAATTTCTTTGTATTTTTTTTCCTGCAAGACTTGTTGTTGGTGGCACTGTTGTGTAACTTCAATCCCAAATTCCATGAAATAGAAATCAGAAGTAAAGGTTGAGAGGGAAGGAGGGAGGGAGACAGGCCAAGGAGTAGACAGAATTTAACTAGAAAAGAAGAGGGTGTGTATGGTAGGCATTCCCGGGCAAGGCCATTCCTTGAGGGAAAGGGTTGGCAGGCAGCTTGCCTCTGCCTCATGCAGGGGAGGGAGGAAAGTTCCCTGGGGACTCTACAGTCCCCTCTTCCTCGGGCTTCCTGCCCCCAAGGTAAAAACGAGTACCAGGGATCAGCTACATCTTCAAATAGGGCTCTCCACCTACCTCTCGCCCTGCCTAGGAAGTGTAGGAGACATCAGCTTTCTCTGACCCCTCCTTCTGTTGTCTTTCCTTTTCACAGGATTCTGATGTGATGGGGGAAGGAACACAAACCAATTGGAGACCACTAGAATTGTCACAGCTTCTGCTGCCCATGGAGCTTTTCTTGTCTGGTTCCATCCCCCCAAAAGTGCCTCCTCCACCACAACCATCAGAGCTGGGGAATGTAGTCCTTGCTCCAATGCCTCTAACCCTCTGCAGTAGAAGTGTCTTCTTCAGGCCCCGTAGGAATTTAATCAAAGGCCACAAGTGAGTCCAGACCAACCAAAGAAACTTTTAGGGGGACACAGAAGGGTAGATAGGTCAGTGGCAAAGTCTGAGTGGAGTGGGCTTGGCTGCATTGGACATTTTTTGTTCCTTCACACATTGCTTTTGGCATGGCATGCCATCCTCACTTGCCATCCTTGGGGGTTGGAAGAGGGGCTGGCTATTGAGGAAAGTAAGAAGGAGAGTCTACGAAGCCATTCCACTGTTTACTTCCCTTATCTCCCCTTGGAAGGAGTAAGTTAAGCAAGAACTTAGCCGGGTGCTGGGAAGTAAAATATCCTCTAAGGTAAGAGTGGAGGTGGCTCCACTTCCAGCTTTTCATTTGGGCCAGGAGGCCACATCAGCTCAGCCAGCACCTTGCCTAGCATCCAGTTGCCCCTTCTCCATTTACTTCCTCCTCTCCACTCAGCTTCCAGGAGACTCCTCAGGACACCAAACCCCCACCCTCAGCGAAGCTTAGGGGTAAAGAAAAATTGGAGAGGGCGTGGGGGCTATGGTCTGACTTAGATTTGTGTGTCTCAGAGAAGAGAGCAACTCTGAGAGAGAAAAGCCCTTCATATGTAAACAATCTAGAGAAAGAAGGGGTGGGGAAGGGAGCAAAGAGACAGTGACAGAGCCAAGAATAAATGAGATAATCTGAAAGAAGAGAGAGAAGGAAAAAGCAAGAGACAAAAGTAAGGGGGCACAGAAAAGAAAGGAACAAGAGAAAGAAAGATAGGAGGAACACAACCAGGAGGAGGAAAGGAGAAAAAGGCAGGTCAAAGGGGTGGAGAGGCAGGTGACCAAGCCAGAAGGAGGCCAGGAAGTTGCCTCAGGTGAGGAGCTGGGAGAACAGGAACGCCAGGCTGAGGTCCAGGAGGGCTACGGCTCCCACCACCAGGGGGTTGGCAGCTCCCTAGAGAGACAGAGGGGGAAGCAGGCTTAGTTCCTGAGGACCAAGTCTGTGTTAAGTTCCACCTCCCTGCCCTGACTTCCCTGGCAAAGCTAAAGGGTGCCAGACACCTCCGTACATAGGCTGGCGCAGGGGGCGGGAGTCTCTAACCTTTGTTTCAGATTGCAAAACCCCTCTCTTCTCTCCGGCAGGGCCCCACCTTTGCTTTGGCACTCTCAAGACAGGGATAGCCCTTCTCCCTTCCTCCCTCCATTCCCCTCCCACTAGCGTATCATGTGGGCCAGGAAGAAGGTGCCCGGCCTTAAGCCGCAAGCAGCCAGTACTGCAGTAAGGCAGAGAGAGAAGGGGTGAGGATGTGGTTGCTAGGAGACAGGAGGCCTGGAATCCAATCAGAGCAGAGGGTTCTGGAGAGGCTCCGCCTCTCCTGTTTCTGCCTCCCCCCCTTCCCCCGCCCCCCCACCCCCCATTTTCCTTCTTCCCAGGAGAGGGAGGGAAAGCGAGGGTAGGGAGGGAACAATTTTTTCCTTTTTTATTTCTGGGCACCAAAGACAGAAAGTGCGGAGGTGGGGGTGTGGGTGGACTAGGAAACTGGGAGCTGGAAATGATATGGAAGGAGAACAGGAAAAAATGTTCTGGTTCTACCGTTAATTATTAGTTTGTAACCAAGGGCAAGTTACTTTTAAGTGCTCTGGGCCTCAGTTCGCCCATCTGTCATATGAGGGAGTCGGACTTGAAGGTCTCTTAAGATTCTTTCCAGCTTGAAAGTTGTCTTTTTCTTGGTTATTTATTTTTGGTGGGACTGGGGTTTGAACTTAGGACTTTGTGCTTGCAAAGGTGTTCTATGGCTCGAGCCACACTTCCAGTCCATTTTGCTTTGGTTATTTTGGAGATGGGGGTCTCATGAACTTCAATCCTTCCTATCTCAGCCTCCCAAGTGACTAGGATTACAGGTGTGAACCACTGGGACCTGGCTAGTTGTCTGTTTTTTTTTAGATGAGATATGCTCCAAGACTGGCCAGGTGGAGAGCAAACTGAGTGAAATCAAAGCACTGTGAGGATCAGACAGAGGTCTGGAAAGGGTGGGAGGTATGACTTTCAAAAGAGGGCACAAAGTGGGGACAGAGGGTTTCTCACCGGCTGGGCAGGCCTCTCTATTGCTGCAGGCTCCTCCAACTCTTCAGTCAGGCAGCCGGCATCAGTTTCCCTTGAGGATGGGCCCCTCAGGACCAGTGTGGCAACAGGCTCTGACTCTGAGCCTCCAGGACCCCTCAGCTGGGGCAGCGGCTCTTCATCTTCCCCCTCCTCCTCTCGAAGACTTCCTGAGCTGTCACTGCAGCCTCCAAGGAGTGGGGAACCATCTCTGGGACCTGGCCCCTGCATCCCAGCCTCATCCTCAGCCTCATAGCCAGCTAGTTCCTCTGCCTGCTCACCTGGGCCCCCCCACTCCTCGGGCCATGCTTTGGGGCTGGAGAAGGGTCCCCAGTCCCCTCCAGAAGGCAGTGGGCTGCAGCAGGCAGGGGGTCGCCAGGGTTGGTGGGAAGAGGCAGGGCTGCTGGGCAGTTCGGGGGAGCCCTCTGAAGGAGTCAGTCCATTCTCATACACCCCAGGGCTGTCCTCATCCAAGGGCTCTGTGTCAGAACCTTCTGAGTCCTGCCTGGGTCTGCGGCCTGGGGAGGGACAGCTGAGAATCAGTGGGTCTCACCCGAGAGGCTGCAGCTTTACCCCAATTGGTATTTCCCAGGACTTTGTTAAAAGACGGGTCATAAATTCTCAGACCCACTTCCCAGACAACTGGGCCTGGCCTCTATCCTCCACCCCCATGAACCCTCCTACCTTGGCTCTTCCCCCTCCCAGGTTGCCCACACCTCACCTGGGGCTTCCAGCATGGGTTGCAGGTCCTGGGCTATCAGTTTGGCCATTCGTGCTGCCTCCACAGCCTTCTCGGCGACGCTGCTGGCTGCCACTGCCTTTAGGAGGGCATCTGCTGCCCTGTCAGGTCCCAGGGACAAGGACTTAGCAGACCTCCCCCCATTTCAAATAAGCCTCTGGCTAGACACTCCAGCCGCCTCACCATGTCCCACCGCATTGCGTCCTCCACATCTGAGCTCACCTCTGGAGTTCTCACCCTTCCTCACCTTTTTTTTTTTTGTTGTTGTTGTTGAACTGGGGTCTGAACTCAGGGCCTACACGTTGAGGCACTCCACCAGCCCCTTGTGTTTTTTCGAGATAGGGTCTAGTGAACTATTTGTCTGGGCTGGCTTTGAACTGAGATCCTCCTGATTTCTGCTTCTTGGGTAGGCAGGACTACAGGTGTGAGCCACCAGTGCTCCGCCCCTTCCTTACTTTGCCAGCTACTCCCTGTCCCAGGCAGGCAAGGGCACCTCCTTGCTGTGGTTTCCTGAGACCTGGGCTGCTTGCTGCCATCACACCTTCCTGTTTCTCTCACAAGCTCTACCCTGGCATCCCAAAGTAACACTTCTTCCTTACAGCTTCAGGGGCTGGGCCCTCCCTGAACTGTTATCCCATTGCTGTCCTGCTCCCTGCCCAGTGGTAACTGTGCCTTCCTTCTCTTAGCACATCCTCTGCAGACCTGCTTGGTGTTTTCAAGTTATGCCTGCTTTGCAGTTGGTACCTCCTGTTGTTATCAACCTGTCTCATGCCTCCTGGGGTCACACACCTCTCTGTGGGGACCAGGGTGCTATCCTACACCTAATCCTGTCCTAGCAGCTTCACCTTTCCCTCACCCACTTGTTCTTGGCCTTCTCCTACTCCCTGCCCTTCCCCTTTCCATTGCCAGCTCTCTTTATTTAATCCCACCTCTTCCAGTGCAGATTTCCTGGCATGAAAATTTCCCTCTTGCTTTTGTTTGGCCTCTTCTGTTATCACACTGCCCCCCTGCCCAGCTTCATGCTGGAACTGAAATAAGGGTGGACCCTCTCCTTTCTGCCATGATCACATCCCCTCTCTCTGCCAATATGCATGCTTGCTCACCATTGCAACTCTACCTTCGGGGTAGGCTCTTAAACCTCCCTTCCACACCCTCATCCCATCCTGTCTCACTCTAACCATCTTAAAGCATTATCAGTCCTTTCCTCATTGTTTTTTCTCAGTTCTCCCTCTGATTTCAGATGCATCCTCAATTTCCCCTTCCTTTTTGCCCTTTGCTGTTCATAATAGATGGCTTGTAATCGTTAAATTGGCTCTGTTATCCTGGTTGAGGTGAGGAACAAAGGAGCAGAAACAGATGGGAGCAGAGGGAGTCAGATGTGCTTGATTTGGGCTTGAATGGATCAAGACCCATGACTCCTTCTTGCCACAAACCTGTTCTATCTGGTTTAGAGAGGCAGTCTGGGTTAGGGGGCTGGTGATGTCCACTATCGTGTTAGGTCCCATCTCTTGTTTTTATACTTTGGGAGACATGGTCAACCTCCTTCCCTCAAACCTGGAGGGTCAAGGACCTTTAGAGTCTACTTGGAGGACTTCAGCTAATGCTGCTGTTATATCATATGGCTTATACTGTATATCGCTAATCCTGTCCTGAAATGGTTCCAGGCAGGTATGAGGATCACAGTCTTGGGTTGCACTGAGTTCTGTTGAACAGCCATGAAATTGACCAGAACCTGTGTTTTCCTATGTGGTGGGTGTGGGTCTAGGCAAGAGATGTAGTCTGTGCTAAGGCATCAGGTCAGGCTCAAGCTACCTGGCAGAGGTACCTGCTGCTGAGGCTCTGCTGTTTCCATGGCAGCCAGCAGCCAATCAGTACTGCCAGCCCTGTTGCTGGGGAGACCAACCAGCCTCCTCCCACTGCTTGATCCTCTAGTTACTGAGATCAGTTTTTTCTGCACATGCCTCCACCCTATCCAGCCCAAAATGTTCCCTGGCGCTCTGCCCTTCCCCTTCACTGGCTTAAGGCCTGGATTCTAACATCCATACACTCAAGATACGTTTACAGATGCACATTCCCTGCATCAGTCATCTACTGTGGATCTGACATGTATATACTCAGGCACACATACACACGCACGTACATACACACAGACACACACACACACACACACACACACACAAAACCTGTAACCTGTTACATAAATTCAATGAAGTATATTTGGATATCCTGACCTCTGAAACAGTCTCACATTTCAACAAAATCCCTCAGCTAGCCCCCATCCCACTTATTTATTTTAGTTTAGCTAGCTAGTTCAAACAGGGTCTCACTGTGAGTCTTGGCTTTCAATTCAAGCTCCTCCTGCCTCAGCCTCCTGAGTGCTGGGATTATAGATGTATGCCACCACATCTAATTCCCCATTCCTTTTAAAGAAAACCTAATATATAAAAATTCAAACATGTAAGTTGCATAAATCAGGGCCTGTGAATTCCTTTACAAATAGATTTTTGTTGATCTTTAGATCTGTGTTATCTAATTCAACAGCCACAAGTCATAGGTAGCATTAAAGCACTTGAAATGTGACTAGTCTAAACTGAAATGATGTGCGGTAAGTGTAAAATACACACTAGATTTCAAAAACCTAGTCCAAAAGGAATGTAAACTATCTCAATAACTTCATATTAATTGGGAGTTAAAATGATACTATTTTGGAAATATTGGTTTAAATACAAACATGCTATTAAAATTCACTTCACCTGTTTCATTTTTTAAATGTGGCTACTGGAAGATTGAAAACTGCATTTGGCTTACATTATATTCTCATTGAACAGTGTTGCTTTAGATAGCAAGGTTTCTGGTGCATGAAAATGTAATGTGATTTACAGAAAGAAAATCTCATTTACAGGCAAGCCTCCTCTCCTCAAACCTCTACTACTTAGGTAAAAGGAGGCAAAGCTGGGAGAGACTAGTTTTTCAGGTGTGTAGATCGACTAATACACTAGATCACCTCAAAGCTAAGGCTGAAATGGTCTTAGGCTGGAGCCCAGTTAAGAAAGGACTACTTTGTAGTAGTCCTGATACTCCTAGCCTGAGACTTTAAGTCTGGATGAGCTGCAAGAGGAGGAAGACTAGGGTCATGATTGTGTTCTAAGAGGTTTCCGGACCTGCACAAAGCAGCGTTCATTGCTACACCCACACACATTGGGTTCCATAGACACACGTCCCCATACAAAAGACATTGAGACACAGTCTTACACCACCTCCCTCCAATATCCAGCCACCCATAGTGACACCCACATCCACCTGTAGCCTCAGCTATAAACACCCCAAATTCAAGGGCTACAACTGGCAGGCCTTAGACTTGCTCTTCCCCACCAGGCCCCAGTTCTGGGTCCTCCCGCGCCCCACTCCTTTCCCTGTACCCAGCTTTGGTCTGTCTGTGCCCCGGATGCCCACCTGGCAGCGGCGATCTCCTGGCGCTGGCGGGCAACACTCACAGCTCGACGGGCGTCCTCGACAGCCCTGTCCACCTTCTCCTTGACTTTGCCCCGTCGGAGGGCCAGAGGCAGGAGGCTGCGGACACGGCCCCCATGCACCAGGCGGTTGCGCTTGTACTTGCCCTCCTCACGAGAGCCGTCCGGGCGGGTGGTACGCCCGTAGCCATGCCGCCGGTTGCCCAGCCACTCGCCCTCGTAGCGCAGCCCGTTGGAGCGCTGGCTCACGCCATAGCCGCTGCGCCGGTCGGCACGCCACTCGCCCGCGTACACCTCAGTGGCCGAGCCCTCGATGAGGGCGGGTGGTGCTGGAACTGGGGGCCCACTGGCCTCGGAGCCCGGGGGTCCAGTGCTGCCCACCTCGCTGCTCACCTCGCTGCGCAGGGATCCCCTCTTGCTGCCCAGGGAACTGCGGCGCCCACCAGCCCGGAGCCCGCTGAGCAGCAGCGAGCGGCGGAAGAATCCCCCGGCCGCAGGGGTGCGCTTTCGGGTGGACGCGCCGTCGGCGTCCCCGGGACCGGCCAGTACGAAGCCGCCCCGGGAGCCTGAGGCTGGGCTGCCTCCCTCGTCTCCTGGCAGGGGTAGGGGCGGAGGTGGCGTCGGAGGGTCGCTGTGGCCGGAGTCCAGGGAGGTGCGACGGGGTGAACGCAACAGCGCCGCCTGATGGTAGGGTACACTCTGGCGCACCCCGTAGCCGTGGCGCTTCCCGGCCTGCCACTGGCCCTGGTAGGTGCCTGCGGGTGGAGTAGGGAGGAAGGGTCAGAACCCTCCGTTGGGTCCTCAAACCCAGCAATCCAGGGCACCCAAGCCCCTGGACGCAGTAAGCAGAGGTGGAGGCAGTAAGCATGCAGTCTGGGAAAGCCCTGGGAGCTGGGCCGGGCCAGGCTGGGTTGGAAGGTGTTGGAAGAGTACAGGGAAGACAGGCAGGTTGCAGGTGGATTTTGGCAGTGTGGGTAGACGGGAGAGGGGAGGGTTAGGCAGGCTGGGATGTGTGAAGGACAGGCCGAAAGGAGGGGGTTGGTACAAAATAGGCATGTGAGACGCAAACAGGACCAGGAGGTACAAGCTGAGTGCGGAAGTAGGTGTGAGCGGACAGGGTAGAGCTGTTAGGGGCCAGCAGATAGAGAGGGGAGGTGTGAGGAACAGGCAGATTGGGATGAGGGAGAAGCAGGCAGGAAACAGTGAAATGAGGAAGGCACGAGTGCGGTGGTGGTGGGAGAGGCAGAAAGATGGGGGCTGGGGTGATAGAGTGGGGAACGGTATGAGGGACAGACGGGAACACTAGGAACAGAAGGATGGACGCAGGGCGCATATGGCTGGGGAAGGCGCACGCGGACGAGCAGGCAGTAGTGGGCCGGGCCCCGCACCTCCATCGGAGTAGGTCTCGGTGCCATAGCCGTCCTGGAAGCCGTCCTTCCAGAGCCCGGCGTAGCGCAGGCCGGACACGCTCTCCCACACGCCGCTGCGCCCCTTCAGCCCGCCCAGCCACTCGCCGCGGTACGTCCAGCGGCTCTTGCGCTCCACGCCCAGCCCTTCGCGCTTGCCCTGCTGCCAGTGGCCCTGGTAGCTGTGTCCACCAGGCCCGGTGAAGACGCCCAGCGACTCGAAGCCGTGTGCCCAGCAGCCGCTGTACTCGCCCTGGGCGCCGGGCCCCGTGCACACGCCGTAGCCATGTGCCCGCCCCGCCTCCCAGCCCCCCACGTAGCAGCCCCCGTCGTCAAAGTCGAACTTGCCCCCGGGGGACATGCATGTAGTTGGCGCGGCCTCAGCCCCCCGGCGGCTCAGCGCATCCTGGGGGTGGAGAGCCGGCTGGGGTCTTGGTGGCCGGGCGAGGCCTGGGGACGGGGGCAGTTAGACCCGGGCTGGGCGGAGGGGCCCCAGCGCGGGCAGGCAGGGCGGGACCCTCATCCTGAGTGGCTGCGGAGAAAGAGGGGAGCAAGTTGAGAGCGAGGCAAGTGGAGAGCGAGGTCCCACCTCTTTGCCCGCCGCTCCCTGGCCGGGTGGCTCAGGAACATCGCCACCGCCCCCCAGCCCCCCCCCCTCTTCTGCAGCATCTTCCAGCAGCTTCCCCAGCTTTGGAGGCGCAGGGGCTTCCCTATCCCTCCCAATTTATAGAGGGAGCCTCCCAGGACTTGGGGCCCCAACCCTAAGCGGGAGTCCTACTTCTGCAGACTAGAACCGAGTGCCGAGTGTGGATGGCAGGTGTGTGTGTGGGGGGGGAGGGCATCCTGAGAGGGGGCTGGGCAGAATCGTAGGCCACCTGCTTTCCCGGCTTTCAGGACCATTCTGCCCAGGTTATTTGACCTCACTAGCAAACCAGGGGGAGGAGAGGAGAGGGGAGGGGAGATAAAAATGTATGGCGAGACCGGACCCAGGTGGGCAGAGGGTTGGTCCGGGGAGAGGACAGGGATGGGGGAAGCTCTGTAGGGGGAAAGCGAGGGAGGGGATGGGCAGACAGGCTAAAGGGAGGGGCAGGTTACTCACCAAGTGGGCTGCGGCTCAGGCTGCCTCCCAGGCACAGCATCCATGGCAGGAAACCTCCACTCCCACCTCACCCGGATAAGCCAAGCCCCCTCCTCTTCCGGAGAGGCTGCTCCAACCCAGAGAAGGAAGGTGGGGGAGCTGTGGCAAAGTCCCCTCTCTCCCCAGCTGGAGGAGCAAGCTAGTGGGATGGGGGGAGGCGAGCTGGTGGCAGGGGTTGGGGGGGGTGATGAGAATAGTGTAGGGGGGAAAATCTGCTTCAGCTGGAGATAGGAAGAGGAGCTGGAAGCTGGGAGGATAGGGGGAGGGGGCTATCAAGAGGGGGTGTTTTTATTATTTTTTTCTTCTTGTGTGGTTGGGAGAGGAAAAAAAAAATCAAAATTCCGATTCCATCCCAGCACAAATCAATGTTTGCTCCATCCCAGCATCACGGAGAGGGGGGAGGGAAGGGCTGGGCCAACAGATTTAAAGGGGCAGAGAGAAGAGAGGAGAGGTGGGAAAAAGAGGCAGTGGCATTGATCGGGGTGGTGGGGGGATGCCCAGGTAGAAAAGAATGGGTGCCCACTAACCCTGGGGTGAGGGAGGAGGCAGGTGGAGAGGAGAATGAGAGGTACAGAGACCCCCAGAGTGGAAAGAAATCCTGGCATGCGGGCGGGGAGTGGGGTGAGGCTGAGGGGAGGGGAGAGGAGCTAGGAGGAGGAGACTGAGCTGAAGATGGGGAGGTAGGGGGAGGCCGGAGCCAGGCGGGGGAGGAGAGATGCTGGCAAGGCCGGGAGAGGGCGAGAGCAATACAAACAAAGAGGTAAAGGAGGGGAGAGAAACCACCCGCAAGGGAGACCCATTCTAGGACTGTGAGGGATGGCTAGGAGGGAAGAAGCAGGGGAGGAGGAAAAGAGAAAAGAAACAGATATGCAGAACGACAGAGCGAAACAAGGGTTGTAAAAGGAGGAAGAAAGCTTTGCAGAGGAAAGGGCAGGCGTGGGTATAGAAATCCAGGCAGGAAGAGCCCAGATTGAGGCAGAAAGGCTGGAAATGGTGTTTGTGGCTGCCTAGGGAGAGGGATGAACCTGCCAGCTGCTTGGATAGAAGCCAGAAAGCATTAGGACAGGATGCCTGTGTCCATTGAGCCCACTGTCCTCCCCAAGACCAGGAGGCTCACCCTCTTGCATTTTCCAAGGAAAATTGAAATGGGGTCCTTCCAGGAAGCCTAGCCCTACTAATGCTCACCATCCTCAACCCCCACCAACTGTTTCTCCCTGGGTTGTCCCTCTGAAGGTGGACATATTTTTGAATGGGGAGGGAGGAATCAAGCTTGATGGGGCCATGATCTTGGGACTCTTCTGTGCACCTAGAAACAAAGAAACAGGTATGTTCCAGCAGGCCCTTATGGTGGCAAGGCCCCTTTCAGCCCACCACCCCCGTGTCTCTGTCCACTCACCAAAGGGGCAGCACATCCAGGCCTTCCTGGTTACAGACAGAAGTAGGTACACACTGTCTTTCCTCCTGCCTCAGCTCACTCAGACTCTGCATCCAGTTCTATTCCTGCTACTAAGCATTTGGGGAGGAGGACACTGTGTCCAATTACACACAAAAGGGTAAATAGTCAAACACACTCAGTTGCTTTTATTTTCTTGCAAGGCCTGGTCCCCTTTCCCTAACCCCAGAGCCCCTGCTCTGATTTTCCAGAGAAGAGAATCAAGGCCCAGGCCCAGAAGGGGAAGTCATGCACCAGAGGCCACACAGCAGAGACTTAAATTTGTTTATTTGATGCTGGGGGTTGAAACCAGGGCGTTGGGGAAAATAAGCACTTACCACTGAGCTCCAGCCTATTCACATCATTTGAGCTCTAATTTATACTACAATTCCACGTGCTTGTGAACCACCCTTAGACTAAAGGGCTCCATTTTGAGTACTTTGGTGAAATAAAGAGCATGAGGACTAGAATAAATGAGGAGTTCCCTTGCATTGTGTTTTTCTAAAAGTTTACATGAGGAGAAACCTGTGAAGTTTAAGACTCCAGGACAGAGACTGTATCTGTTTCCCCCCCCCGCCCCCATTTTTTTAGACAGGGTCTTCTTGTATGGTCCAGGCTGGCCTGGAACTCATGATCCTTCTGCCTGTGCCTTCTGAGAGCTGGGATTATAGTCATGGAACACCACACCTGGCTTTGACTTATTCTTGAGGGAAAAAGATGGCAAAGTTAGGGTGTGATACTTGTTGATAGGGTGTACAGTATTCATGTTGCATGAAGTCCTGAAGAAATCAGACAGGAGTACCCTGAGGTTTTTTTTTTTTTTTTTTAATCACTAGGGATATACACGACATTGCTTTTTATATTTCTTTTTTTTAATGTTGCCAAAACCAAAAGTAGCTTTTTTTCTTTGTATTTTGCTACCTTGCAGTATTTGTGTTTAATTTTTCCCCCTTTAATTTGAAAGGGACAGCACTGTGTATGTTTATAAAAGAAATGAAGATGAGATATTATTTTGTATGAACACTCAGCAGTAGCCACACGGTGGTGGCTCATTCACAGCACAAACCTGGTCACTTAATGGCAGTATGAAAGGAAGACTTGAAAGATCAAGAAAGGACTCATGTCCTCTCTTCCTTTCTCTTTTCTAGAAATTGGGTGGTTGTACCAGAATGGAATTTTGCTTGATCCTGTGTTTTGGGATGTTTACAATTGAACCCAAACTAGGAAAAAAAAAAAAAAAAAAGACAAGAAAAGAAAAAGAAAGAAAGAATATTCTGGAATGTGTTGGACACAGAGCCCCAGCCCCCATATTGCCCGCTGGGAGTCAGTCTTTTTGTCTGTCTCTCACAGGTCCTACAGTCCTCTCCTCTTTCAGGGCAGGGACACTTTGTTTTTTTCAGATCGTGGACTGGTTTTGCCACAATTTATTGGTGTTCAGGTGTCATAGAAAAGAAAACTAATGCTAGATGCAGTGACCCTGTGCTTGGATCTAGGCCCTGTGCTTGGCATTCTATCTGTATGACCTCATCCAGTGCTTGCACCAAAGCTATAACTGAGCAGTCCAGGCTGGAGGCCAAGAACTGGGCTTCCAAAGATGGCAAACCTGAGCACATTACCCAGCTTTTCTGAGCTGCAGTTGTGTCTCTAAAATGGAAATGTTATAATTTATTCCATAGCTTACTATTGTGATTGAAATGATTGTGCATGAATATATACTATTCTACTTGGTATAGTAACCCAGCACATGGTAAATGTCCAGTAAACAGTGGCGTGGAAAAATTGCTTGGTGTTATTCCAATTTTTTAGGTATTGAATTTGCGATTCAGAAGTTAATTTGCTCAGTGTTACACAACTAAAATGGCAGCTCTTGAGCTCAATGTATATCAGACTCCCAAGTTAATATGCTTTAACAAATGCATTTGGGGGCAGAAATCTCTTTACAAAAGTAATACACCCACTGTAGAATTAGGAAAATAGAGCACAGTATCAAGAAAAAAATTAAATAGAGCACAATATCAAGAAAAAAATTAAAATCACCCATTGCCCCACTGTATACCAAACACTTCCGTGTATTTTCATGTAGTCTTTCCCTGCATTTATTTAACATAGTTAGTTAAGCGTCACTATACAATCTTATATTCAACTTACTCACTTAGCTTTACATTCTAAGCATTTTTCCATGTCATTAAACACCCTTGAATCTTTAATGGCTGCATAACATGTGGCTTTTTGGATGCACCATAATTTGTTGAAATATTCTAGCATAGCATACTATCTGCACTTTTTTTTGCCATTAAACATCAATGTGCTTTTATATAAATCTTTGTGTCTCTGATGTTTTCTTTAAAGCATGTTTTATCATGGAAAATTTCAAACATACACCAAGTAGACAAAATAGAATAAAGAACCTCCTTGTACCCTCACCTAGTTCAGCAATTGTCACTTTTGGCTAGTCTTTGTTGTTGTTTTTTTTTTTCCTCCTCCTCCCTCACTATTTCAAATCACGTTATGCTAGTCTATTGATCTCTTGAAGTAGCATTTTTTTTTTTTTTTGTGGTGCTGGGGATCTAGCTAAGTTAAGTTAGCCACCTCTGAGTTACATTCCCAGTTTCACAGTAAATTCTCAACAGCAGAACTATTAGTTTCTAGGCTAGAAACATTTTTTGAAAAAGATTTTGGCTTTATTTTGCCAGGATCACTTCTAGAAAGAGTGTATAAATTTGTATTCTCACCAATTGTGCATGAGAGTGCTGGTATTATTGCACCCTAACCTGCACTGACCTTGTAGTAATAACACACACACACAGCCAGTTTTACAAATGAAAAGTGATTTCTTTATACACTTTTTTTCGGGGGGGGATACTGGGGTTTGAACTGAGGGCTTTGTGCTTGCTAGACAGATGCTGTACCTTTTTTTTTTTTTTTGGCCATACCTCCTGCACTCTTTATATACTTTTGCTTGATTGATTGCTAGCTAGCCTTATATTGAGAAGGTATTTGGTGACTCCAGCGGAGCAAACCCTCCTGACGAGGGAACCTAGCTGAGGCCTATGGGTGTGTGTGGGTGTGGGGCTGCCTTTCTAGTAACCCCCAGCTCCTGGAGCAGGGAGGAGCTTGGGAACTCTTCTGCCTCATCTAATGGGCAGCCACTAGGGGTCAGGATGGGGCCGGAGATGGTGGTGGTGGGAGAGGGTAGATTGGCCCGTGGCCAGACACTGCATTTCCTCTGTCTGGCCACTGCTGGCAGGACACATAGCTCCCCTCTGCTTATCAGATCATGATTCAAGAATGTTCTGCAGGGCTGTCTTTCCCTGCCTGTCTCTGTCTCTCCTCTCACTACTTGCTGAAAAGGGAAACAGGCTGACAGAAGTCCCACTGGACATATGAGAATTGGATTTTGCTTTATCTCTGTATATGTCTCTGTTGGAACTCAATTTACTATGGAGTAGAAAATTTTAACCTGACATCCATGAGCTGTGGGACCCAAGAATGGCCCTTAGGGATTTTGAACCCTTTGAAATTGGGCAAATGGTGTGTGCATATTCTTTACTCCCCTCTCTGGTGAGAGAACAGTAGCTTTATGAGGGCCGTGCTCCCTAAAGCCCAGTATCTTTAGGGCTCCCTTCTCTTTCCTAAGCCCCTTTGCTCCTGATGAGATTGTGAAGAAAGTAGGTTTTGGAAACAGGGATCTTCTTGGGGGTCAGGCTAAGGGGCTGGACTTCCCTCATCATCCAATGGAATTGAGAGAAGAGCCTGAATTTTCCCTCGGATGGGATGCAGTGTGGAAGGGCAGGTGGACAATACTCACCACCTGGGGCTATATGGGATCTATATACATACCGAGGTACCCGATTCCCTCTGAGGTGTACATCTTTGTTCAGTTAAATGACTGGTGTAAGGAGCAGAGGGTCAGGGAAGAAAGGCTGATGGCAGGCCAGTGGTATTGTAGTCTGTACTTCTGAGCCCTGGGGGGTGGCATGGACGAGATGCCCAAGAGGTAGCAACCAGCCAGGCTGCTTATTCCTAGGACACTGTTTGAATCGCATCTCACTGTAATGTGCTCTAAGTCGTTAATCCTGTGCAAACATGGGTGGGAGATGGGATTAGGACTCATGAGAGTCTCAGAGCAATGCAGGCAGGCTTGGTCTGCAGCAGAAAGAGGATCTGGGGTCCTGGAGAGGCTGAGGTCAAGGTGAGAGTCTAGCACATCAGGTATGAAAACAAAAGTGAGCATTCCCAAATCCATACCAGTGTTTCATTTCATCTCACAACAGTGGCTTGTGTTTGTACATAAAGGTAACCTGAAGATACAGCAGCTTGTGATCATTACCCAGTTCTCTGTTTGGCAGCTGCATGGAGCAGAGGCTGAAGAGGTCTGGCGATTAAACTACAATGATACTTGTGTGAATACAGGAAATTCAGCTTCAGACATTCAGATTCTGATGCTTCCTCTGGACTCGT